CCCCAAAACCCCAAAACCCCAAAACCCCAAAACCCCTGGAGCAAATGGGAAAATTGAATATTCGTATGGGGGTTTTAGCGAATTTTTACGGAATTTGGGGAATTATTTAAGGATTTTGGGAGTCTTTGGGGATTTGAGGCAGGGGATGCGGGGGTTTAAGTGGAGGATGGATTTTGAGATTGGAGAAAGGAAGGAGTTTTTGTTGTGGAGGGTTTGGAAAAGCTTGTTTTTTATTTTTGATGGTTCGAAGGGTGCTTTAGGGAGATATAATGGTGAATTTGGGTTTGGATTGGGTCTTAGATTGCTCTGGTTTTTGAATTTTGTAAAAACTATGTGTTTGAAGATAATTTTATACCTTTCTTTGGGATTTTAAGTAAGATGTTATTGCAGTCAGCTTCAGATTCATTGTTTGTTAAATTAGACCCAATTGAATTATCGCTTTTTAAGAAAAAGATACATTAGTTGACCTAAACCTTTCTCGATTTCTGTGGTTGCTAATAATTCCTATTGATGAAATCTTTTTCTCAGATGATAGAACTCTAACTGACTCATTTATAACTTTCTCAATTGGGCCAAAGGACCGATTGGCTCTCTCTCTGTTGCGGTTATTTGAGTCTGGAGCTTAGCTTTGGGACTTACATAAATATCCTTCCAAGTTTTTATTATTTCCTCCTCCCTTTTCAAATGAATTGGGTATGAAGATGTTTCTTAATAATAGAAATCTCTTGAAGGGAAGATCTCTTAAAATTCTCTGCATCAACTCTAAGCTGGGATAGCTTTGACCGAGGTCTCTTGCTCCTAAAATAAGCCAAATTGCATACTTCTCTTTGTATATCTTACTCATGATGTTTAGGAAGACTGAACCAATTTGTCGTTTGTTAATCCTACATATTCCCACATACAATATTACTTCTCACTTTCTTGTATGGATTTGTTACGATTCTCTCTTTTGCAAGGGAGGTATGTACCTTGAACACTGAGTCTTAGCTTATCTATACTATAAGTCCCAACGTCTTACTGCTAGAAGGACTGTCGGGTACTGAAAGTCATTTCGAAGGGCTCTATAGATAATGAATATAAGTAAATGACATGTGTAAAAATCTCTGAAAGAGATTTTTACACTTACTTTTCCTCTTTTCTTTCCATCTTTAACCTTTCTGCGCTTTCTTCGGCACATCCTTATCTGCTTTTGCTGGTCGATGATATTATGCTTAGTGTGGTAAATATGTTCATAAACACACTGCCAGTTTGCTCTGAGGGAAGATTCCTTGAAGAAGGGCTTATTTTTCTCTCCCCCAAAGCTAATGTAGCCTTCCCTTATATTGTTAAAGTCGATCTGGGATTTTCTATAGCTGTGAATATATGTATACGGGAAATTTGGGATTTTAACCCAAAGGAAAGAGGTTTAGAGTATTTTTACGTACTTTTTGTTGTCAAAAATGGCAATTTCACGCTGAAATGAATCTGGGATTGCAATTGTAGTCTTCGTACTTTCTTTCTGCCTTCATTTGAAGCCTATTATAATTATGCCTCGCTCAAGGATTTTGTAGTCCAAGATTTGTTAATGCTAATGAATAGATGTCTGTAAGTTTAAAGTCATGAATATTTTGAGTATTGGTGTTTCAAATTAAGCTTTTGCATTGGGAGAAATTATAAGTTGACGAATAATCTCTCAAAAGTAGTAATTTTGACTAAATTTAAACTATGATCAGAAAACAAAGTTTTTAGCTCATCTTTATAAATATCGCTTCTTTAAAAACGATTTTCCCTGAAGCCATTTTAAATCCAAATTTCCAGTAGAAACCATCTCAAAGTTCTTCCTTTCTTAATTCTTTCCTTATCTCAAAAGCTTACTTGAATTCTTCATTTTCATGATCAATTAAATATTTAGCTATTTCACTTAAATTTCGTTCTTAAGGGGTTTTGGGGTTTTGGGGTTTTGGGGTTTTGGGG